CTACCCAGATGTCTGACAAAATCTTCTGTCGATTAGTGCAAAGGCTTTTAAACACATGGAAAGGTAAGATTCCTTATTTTCAGAGAGACATGTTCAACCTGGTTCTGGAAGCATCAAGCTTCCCATGACAGGTAAATAGAAAAGCTGTTACCATAGTTATTTCTAGAGCCTCCACTGCTGTTCTTGCTGCAGTCTGTGTGCCTCTGGTTGTGTACCCATGGAAGTGCTAATGACTGTCTGCAAGATCTTAAATGGCTTTCCAGGGCCAACAGAAGTAGTAGAGGTAAAGTGCAGAACATGATTCAAGAAGGAATCCAATCGATACCTGCAGATTTGCCAGAGATGGATACATCTGAATCATTTAATCCATTTGGTGGTTTAGATTTTTGCAGCCACAATGCTTTCAGACAGCTGTGCTACTTGCTAAAAGCACAGGTCACATTCACTGAGATATTTAAGCTTCATGGCAGTAAACAAGTCACAGAAAGTCCTGGGTAAGCCTCAGCCAGCAATATCCCATTCAGAGCTCATGCAAGGAAAGGTTTTCCTGGATCATATTTCTGGATACATTATGACTATCATCTAAGAATGGTGGATACTGCTTTGTAATGCATCTGTTGCTGCAAATGTTTAAATAGAACTTCCTCAGACTACTGAGCGTATATAGATTTCTCTTTCAAAACCTGCGAGGGAATCAGGAGTATTTGCTGAATTTATCAAGGTGTTTCCCACCATCTTTGCCCAGTACATGGAAAGCGGTGATCACGGCCACTTCTGTCATCTTTCAGAGAACTTTTCCTAAGTGACCTTACCCAAGTGAATTTATGTCCTTTCCAGACAGGAGCTGCTCACTTAAATATTAGCTTATTCACAACTTATTTACAGCTGCTGTCTGCTTATAGCACTCGGCTTCTCCTTTCTATACCAAGCAGATCCTTTGAGGCATTTTAAGTGGCTTATGCAAGCCATGATCAATGGTCCAGGCTATTGCTTTGACATGTTAATACAGTGGAAGTGACTGCAGCCCAAGCGACTTCATTTGCTTTCCATGTGAATTCCTGCAACAGTTGGTATACCAGCACTCTTCTAACTAACCGGACTTTAGAGATGAAAAATTCAGAGGCTTGCAATGAAACCTGAGAATGGTCCAAAACAAGAAATGAGCAACTTGTATTGGATAGACCGGAAATAAGCCAGCCTATTTCTCCTAAAGTTAAGAAATAGCTCCGCATATTTTTGAGCCAATTGGAATTTGATCTGTTCCACTTACAGGGCTGCTAGCTTTGCAAGCTCCTGGCGAAGGGAAAGACATTTTTCCTCTCCCCTTTTCCAATGGCTTGATGCCAAGTTAGAGGAGCTTCAGTACTTTCTGGGAAAGGTAGTTTTCTCAAGAGCTACCACTCTGCATTTGAGGTGGACATTATGAGTTATTAGAAGTCACTCTCCAAATAAAGGATTGTGGATTTCAATGGCATTTCTAGCCAGGACAGAACTGAAACTGTTGGTGTTGGAGCCCCAGGGGCTGCAGAGGCACGAATGCAGAAGTGAACAGTTGCTGTCCAGATAGTGGTTTCTCAGAGAAGATTCTCCATCTGTTCAGGCAGTGAAATCCACTGGCAGGAAATACAAAGTGGGGTATCATATTTAAGTTTCAAAAAAGAGGGCAATCCAGAGAGAGTTTTTTTTAAAGTAATGTACCATGCATAGTTGCCACGCAAAGTTACTTTATGTATTTTTGCTCCTCTCCCACCCTCCCCAGCACACATTCTGTGCCTCAAGTCTGAAAAGATAGATTCAACAGAACAGAACATTAGTAATCTGGGTCCTAGCATAATGCTTGTCTCAAGAATTAAGCCATACATTTCTAAGGACATGCAGTATACTGTGAATGGTTCACTGAATCAGTGATGGTTTCTCTGGTCGCTTCCACCACAAGAACTAACTGAGCCTGAAGCAATTGGGAGCACTTTGGGAGCAGTCGTCCTTTAAGCCCAAACCAGACAATACATTCAAATAAGTAAAGGCTACTGGGGCTGAAGTAGTGTTTCAAACTAAAATCATTCATATATATATATATATA